TTGAATGAAAGTTTTTTAACAATATGGTTCAGATTTGGGTAAATTCTAATTTTCAACATTTGATAGAGATTCAAGAAAACTTCCAAATTCATGCAGCAAACTTTAGGCTAGTGAAATAGACAAGTGTAAACTAGAGAAGTACAAGTATTGGTATTTATCTAAGGTTTAGATACTACCTATCTAATTACGACTTATTTTATCAATCTACCGTCATTTTAACTAGTAGAATTTATTAGTTGGTAATTTAGGTTAATGAGTTTAAGAATGTGTGGTCCAGGTGTCAGTTGATACTATAAAATTTAAGATTTTTTTTTAACCAGCAAGTTCAGAGTACCGGTAATGAGCTATAATTATGCCTTTTAGCTATTGACATTTGATTTTGTGATGCTAAAGTTCCCTTATTACTATTGACATTTGATTGTATTATTGACATTTGATTTTGTGATGCTGAATTGATTTTAGAGACTTGACATTTGAGTTGAGTGTTTAGTGACGTTGTAATGTTCTGTTAGCAATTGACATTTTATTTTGTGATGCTGACATATTCTTGTAACTATTGACATTTGATTTTGTGATGCTAAAATGATCTTTTAGCAAGTGACATTTGATTTTGTGATGCTGACATATTCTTGTAACTATTGACATTTGATTTCCTGATGCGAAAATGATCTTTTAGCAAGTAACATTTGATTTTGAGATGCTGAAATGTTCTTATATACTCTGCATTTAAGCAACAGCCCAGTGGTGGAGCAAACGGGGAGCAGAGGCTGCAACCACCTCCACCTCCCCCCCCACTCCCCCCAGAATCAGACAGTGATTCTGATACTGATTGAAACTCTGTCAGAAAAATGCAATGAGATCAGACACATTAAAATTACATTCAGCTATGACTGGCTTAAAGTAAATGGAGTTGAAATTTTAATGTAAGTGCTTATTACTGATGAAATTTGATACTATAACCAATTGTGAAAAAAATCCCATCATTTCTAAAAGATTTCTTCCTCATTATATCTGATGTCATTCAAGCAAATATAATGTCTTCAACTCTGTACGTTTTTTTTTCTACCTTCTTCAAGAAGAGTTAAATCATAGCAGCAATGTCTTATTGAGTAATGGCAATAAAGATTATAACATGCATGAGGCCTTATTATTCCCTAGTCCATTTCCGCTCCAACTTTAATGAAACTTCCAGCTCATGACAAAAAAAGCTAGCAATCGTAACCAACTCGGTTGATTTCTACTGATTTAGCTTCATACACTATTCATTAAATATTGATGTCAGGGTAATGAAAAGTTGGTATGAAAATTAATAACTGACACAACGCAAGAATAAATAAAAGTCTAATTACAAATTGCGTATTGAAATAGACTTGCCACAGATCGAAAATAATCTTGCAAATTACTCCAAACAGATTCTAATTTCCTGAAGCAAATTACTTTTCGCCATGTTTTCATTGGGAGAAAAAAGGTTTATCGCCTTCAAATTATAACTGAATATGATATTAAGCACATGGCAGGAGGGAAGTTTTAAAGTGGTTGTATATATTAATGACTCTTTTTATAATATAAATATATATACTCAAATTTCTTGCATTAAAGTAACAGTATTCCATATTTCAATCAATAAGATTGGATGAAGTTAAATTGAACTGTTCTCAACTGAGAGCTGTTGAATTGCATATAGATCAAACATAATGTTTTTGCTTTTAAATCATTTGCAGCTTCTCTAGTATAAGACAGTTAAAAAACATAAATTAGGTGCTCTTAACCTTTTCAAAATTCAATTTCGACTATTGGTTAGTACTTTGGTACTAGCGTTGTTATATTTTTCATAAGTAATCATGCATATTGTATAAATAACCCAAAAATGAATTGAATTTATTTATTTTGTACAACATGAGTACAGATGAGGCTCAGTAATGGAAGTCCCAATACTCTAGGCTAGCTATGGGCAGTACAATCAAATATCCCATACAAAGTGGCTTTAATACTAGGTAATTAGTGTTTAATGTATATTGTATATATATTAATGATAAAATATCTAAACAGAGAAAACTTAATTAACCTGGGGCATCATTAATTATTTCTTCTAATGTTTATATTACATTAGTAACACTGTATATTACAGTAACACTTTTATACTATAACTTACTCACTTCTTCTAATGTTATTACATTAGTAACACTGTATATTACAGTAACACTTTTAAACTATAACTTACTCACTTCTTCTAATGTTATTACATTAGTAACACTGTATATTACAGTAACACTTTTATACTATATCTTACTCTTTTCTTCTCTTGTTTATATTACATTAATAATACTGTATATTACAGTAACACTTTCATACTATAACTTACTCATTCATATTACATTAGTAACACTGTATATTACAGTAATACTTTTATACTATAACTAACTCATTTCTTCTAATGTTTATATTACATTAGTAACACTGTTTATTACAGTAACACTTTTATACTATAACTTACTCATTTATATTACATTAGTAACACTGTATATTACAGTAACACTTTAATACTATAACTTACTCATTTCTTATAATGGTGTTAATTGATGCTATCATTGTCCCCAGTAAATAGAAAAAAATTAGGAACCTCTTAACAAATCCTTTAGAATCAGAAGAAGACATAATGTCTCTACAATTTGGTGTTTATTTTGCTTAAATACATGCATTACTTTTCCACCACCAACCAAAAACACAGTGACTCTATGAGTGCAAGTCAAAATGCTCTTTTTTTTAAAAGAGCTATATTGCAGTTAACTATTGAATGAATGTTTAACTGTTACAACTCAATTAAAGCAAAAACTTTGAAGAGATAATTGTCAATGGGATCAATCAGAAAACTTCATAGCCAAATATGGTGTTTTGGTTCACTACACTACAATAAAGTGGCGTCTGCACCAGATTGCTCTCATCATCCCTTCCTATTGTCTGATTTGCATGTTGAAAGGAATAAAAATGTCTCTTAATGGTTTTTATTCATCTATTTTAACGGATGAACGCATCTCTAAATGTAAACATTTGCCTTTGTATGAATATTTTATAAGTGGAGCCATATCTTTAATAGAATCTGCAGAATTATTGAAATCGACATGAATTTACAGTTTTGTTCATATTAATGCTTTATTGAAGCTCTACATGAAAATGTTCGTGCTCTTCTGCTAGATTTTATAGTATTAGATATGGTGAAATACTCATAATGTATTTAAAATTGTTCATTATCATGTGGATTCTTTGAATGCCTGAGACCATTTGAACATTTTAGGGTTCCCTTAAAGCAATTGTAAAAGGATTTCTAAATTTTTTATGTGTATCAACAACACTGATAGATCATCAATTTGCACCATTTCAATTTTTTTAGCAGTAATATAGCAAAATATGCATGTATCAAAAAAGGCCTTTGCGTCGTCATCAAACACTTAGTTTTAGTGGCATTGCAGGAACCAAAGATATCTGAATAAAAATTGGAATGGTGAAAATTGATGCAATCAATATCTGATGTCCAACAAATTTTTGGGTTGGGAAATTTTACCGAAAGGAGATTAGGCCTGATATTTTCTAAACGATCTTAGAGCTAGAATGCCCTAGGTCTTAACTTCTAACACTGTTTCTAGGATATCCAGGTTCTTAAATCATTTAAATTTTTGGGGGAAATATGTTCAGAGCAATGCAAAATTTTTTTTCAAGAGATTCATATAGGATGTACAAATTCCATCAGTGCCGTTGAAATTTTGGTTGTTGGCTCGATTTGTTTTAAAGTTTTAGATTTGACGACCGACTAATACACAAATTTTATCTCCTAAAGTCGATTCATTTAATATATTAATTATCACTTTACCTGATTAATTTTCATAATTTTATCTAAAATTTTGATAAAGCTCTCTAAAAGGAAAAGTTTATTATGTTTAAACAATTGTAAAAATTGAGTATGGCTTGAATGAGTGTGAATTATATCTATTTGTATTGTATGGTAGCAGGTTGGTCTTATCAAAGTTCACTCACTATTGTCATCAAATTTAAAAGCAAAAATCACATTATCTCACTAGGAGACCATTTTATCACACTTAACATATGTGCCTAGCAAAGTATTATCTGCTCAATGATTAAACTTTCAAATTTTCTACTATTCCATTGAATTTTTAATGAATTATCAATTATTAATGTATACTGATTTAATTATTAGAAATTATCATGTTTTCTATGTCGGTGAAACACTAGGAATTAAAATAGAAAGATAAGGTTATCAAAATTTAATATATTATTATGCATTATACCATGCCATAGCATGATAATTTTTGGAAACAAATGAAATGGAAATTTTATATTCAAGCAAGCGTGAAGACTTATCCATATTTTTTTTTATCTTTTTCTCAATGGGGTGCTTGGACACCTTGTCAATTGCTATGTAGGTTCGTTTGTGAGTCACCGCAAGTGCACCTTGGTTTGTTGACTCTGTATTCCCTTTCGGCATCTTTATTTGAGTTTGTCCATAGGACACAGATAGCATCAATTTGCACCATTCCAATTTTCAATCAGATGTCTGTTGTTCCTGCAATTCCACTAAAACTAAGTTTTTGATGAAGTCACTAATCACAAAAGGTCCTTATTTATTAGTTTTGTCATCATACACGTAGTTTTAGTGGAATTGCAGGAACCTCAGATGTCAGTTTGAAAATTGGAATGGTGCAAATTGTGTCTTAGACGCACATAAAAAATTAGAAAAACCTCTTTACAATCCTTAGGCTAATTATGAATTAATTATAGACATGTGAGACAAACTGGTATTTTTCCAAGTCATAAGAACACCTCCACTTTCTATTCATATAAGTATTAACATTTTCATTTTCATAAATGAAAATAAGGGAACCCATCTTTAAGAGTAGAACAAAGCTTTCCATCTGTGTTTTTGTTATTTAATTTTTCAAATGTTTGTATTTTCAGGTCCAATGCAGATATCTCAAGAACAAACTGGGATGGCGGCGGCCCAACAGGAATGTGCTGGGTGTCAGAAATTAATCAAAGATAAACATTTATTAAAAGCTTTAGATCAGTATTGGCATGAAGATTGTTTAAAGTGTAGTTGTTGTGACTGTCGGCTAGGGGAAGTTGGTTCAACTCTTTTCACCAAAGCTAATCTGTTATTATGTCGTAGAGATTATTTAAGGTAAGCTTTACACCTTCAAAAGGCCCCTTTGGGTTCCTTAAGATTAAGAGCAAGCAGCATGAATTTTTAAAATTTTATACTACTTTCATCAAGGAACTTCAGATTGACCAGGCCTAACAAAGGAGATAAATTTTTCATCTCTTGCAATATGTTTTGCTTTTGATTAGAAGTGCACTTCAAGAATATAAAATAACCTTGGTTCATTGTTCAAACCAAACTACTTAACACTTTTTCAATGTCAGCTTCTCCAAACAAGTATGAAGATACTTTATGGGACTTTTAGATTAGAGAGCAAACTGATTAGTTTTTGAGCTATGTATTAAAATATAATAAGTGCATTTATATACTTATTTATATGAATATACATTACAATAATAAAATATTTTCACTGTTAAAATAGAGCTCAAAATATCAATTGTAGAGCGATATAGAAATACCACTATTAAAATAGTGCTCAATACATCAATTGTAGAGAGATATAGAAATACCACTGTTAAAATAGTACTCAATACATCAATTGTAGAGAGATATAGAAATACCACTATTAAAATAGTGCTCAATACATCAATTGTAGAGAGATATAAAAATACCACTGTTAAAATAGTACTCAATACATCAATTGTTGAGTGATATAGAAATAGCACTGTTAAAATAGTACTCAATACATCAAATGTAGAGCATATAGAAATACCACTTTTAAAATAGTGCTCAATACATCAATTGTTGAGTGATATAGAAATACCACTGTTAAAATACTGCTCAATACATCAATTGTAGAGCATATAGAAATACCACTTTTAAAATAGTGCTCAATACATCAATTATAGAGCATATAGAAATACCACTGTTAAAATAGTACTCAATACATCAATTGTAGAGAGATATAGAAATACCACTGTTAAAATAGAGCTCAATACATCAATTGTAGAGCATATAGAAATACCACTGTTAAAATACTGCTCAATACATCAATTGTAGAGTGATATAGAAATACCACTGTTAAAATACTGCTCAATACATCAATTGTAGAGAGATATAGAAATATTAAAACAAACAACTTGAATTATGTTGCTACACAGAATTTCACGCTATGTAATCTTCTGACAACTGACCCATCTTCAGCCTGTGTTCCTACTGATTATGCATTATGTTAATAACTATTAATCTTATTTCAGGTTATTTGGTACGACAGGTTTCTGTTCAGCATGTTCTAAAATGATTCCAGCATTTGAAATGGTGATGAGAGCTAAAACTAATGTTTATCATTTAGAATGTTTTGCCTGTCAACAGTGTAATCACAGGTATATATATTATAATCATACATAGTAATTGAGACAAAAATTTGGTGAAAAAATTCTTGGAAATTTTGAAACAATTGTCCTAATGATGGATTCTATGTCCATAAATATCTATATGATTTTCAGATGTGCTATTGTTCAAGATTTGAATATTTTTAATGAAGAATATACTTGCTCCTGTTCAATATGTTTTTACTGTCTTCTATCCCTATATCCTAAAATCTGCCCTGATGATTCGTCAATACAAAGGGATTCATGTACGCATCTTTACAATAAAGAGCTATTACGAAAGGTGACCATTGAAGTCAAGGTTTATGACAAAGTTTATAATAGCTTGACATTGTGAATATAGTCATGTACAAAGCCTCGCCATTATAATTTTGCAATCTTGGTAGTTGAAGCATCAAGCTTTCAGGTTATGGAAAGGTTAGACCTACATATCGTGAACAAATAGTATCACACTTACACCACAATACCTAGAAACAATTGAAGCCATTTTTCTTATCGCTAATCTAAATTCTGTTCTGTCTTTTCAGATTCTGTGTTGGAGATCGGTTCTTTTTATGTGACAACAAAATTTTATGTGAATATGACTATGAAGAAAGAATGGTGTTCGCTAATATGACCAATATTAATTACGGAGCCTACAACGCTTTAAATCAAATTAAAAGACAGACACAAAGTCTCAGTGATGATGTTTCAAGTGGTTATGGAAGTCCGAGTCCTTGTTCACTTTAGAAGATATTTTTGTTTTTTGTTTCGTTCATCATGAAATTTTCATTGGGGACAATTAAAAATCATTTGTGACACTTTTTCTCATTCATTCAGACTATGAAAAAGAATGTGAATGAGGAAATAGGTAATTCAACAAAAAGATTCTAAAGAGTTGTACACCAGATTTGAGGACGTCTGCGACAAGAAAAATACGGTCCCGCAGCAAACTCAAGTGTTACTTCCTGTGGTTAAAAAAAGAATTGATGTGACTCTCAAATTGTGCCATAAATTAGAAGTATGGTGTTTGACAAGGTTGTGTTTGTAAATATATGGTTGGAGTAATTATTGTTAATTTTTGGAAGGAGTAATCTTTGTGAATATTGTATTTAAAACAAACAGACGACAATTCTAGTTTAAAGTTTATTTAAGGAATGGTGCAAACTAGTCCCTATTATCTGGTATTATTATCTAGTCATTTCTTTTCAAGTCTCATGGAGTTACCTCCCTTTTTTGTCATTTATACATTGTGAAGTTCTACTGTGCATTTTTTGCCACATTGCACACTGTCATTGACTATATTCTCCTAGTTTTCAGATCATTAGGATGCAGCAGTTCAATTGATGTCATTTGACAAATGCCTTGACCTTGAGGTCATAACCTCTCAAATTACTCAATGTCATGGTCTATAAGTAGATCAAAAGTATTTATGAACATTCAGGGACATTTTCAAACTAGAGGCAAACAGTTTCTTACAAGCCAATGGCGATATAGTGTGTTTTTGAATCGTCGCAGAATGTGCATATATTATCTTGGAACAATTACAGTTTTGCATTAAGACAAGCATTTCAAAATATTATTTTCAGGGAGGGGGGTTGTCTTTAAGATGTCTGAAAACAAATTCTATAATCCTAATCCTGATCTTAATCCAAACTCAAAGGGACAAATTTAGTCACTCAGATATTTTAGTCCTACATTTGATGTAGATTTTGTTACCGGTAATATATGAATATATAATATAAATTGTTTTTAATTTTTTCAGTTTGTATTTAATAATTAAATTGTTGTATATTTAAGTCTTTGTTGAATTAATGATAATTAAATGTAAATACAAACATCAGTTTTATGGCCTTTCAATTTTCACTGTGAAGCCACGAATAATGGAGGTTGGTGTCCAGTGCGGTATGGTGTGGTGTGGGATTATCGACACAGTGGCTCATCTCGATGAGTGGAGGCCTGTGGACATAAGTGGGTTGGCCCTCCCCCATTTTTTTAAATATTTTCGTTAACATGTACTCTTCAGCATTCAAAGACCCCTTTGTATTTCTGCGGGGTCCCCATAGGGGTGGGTGCTCATGGACCTGGTTCAACCAGTCCCTATGGTAGTTGAGCCACTGGAAGCAAATCCTGTCCACATCATGTTGGAATCTTGTATCTATAATCGTACCGTACACTGCACCAGACACCATACCTCGTATATTCACAGCTTCAGAATGATATTTCATGTACCATAGGATAATTCTAGTGCCAAATGTTATAGGCAATTGTGGTTATATTTCTACTAAAATTACATGAAAGATTTTCGAGAAACACTAATTTCAATACCACATTATGCTTGCTGTAAGGGGAAAGATAATGTTCATATCTTGAAAATGACCAGGTGACTGTACTGGAGAACTGAAACTCCAAAGCCTACTACCTGTAGAGTTACTTGCTATTTTGCGTGCCCTTAAGGGCTTAAGGGGTTTTAAAGAAGTTTTCTTAACTTTTTATGCGCACGGGGAACATTGGTAACATCAATTGGCACCATTCCAATTTTCAGTCAGATGTGTCATGCAATTCCAGTAAGTATTTATGATGTCATTATTTCAAAGATTCCTATATATCATAAGTATCTTTTGTGATTAGTGACGTCATAAAAACGCTAAATTTTAGTGCTATTGCAGGAACCACAGATGTCCAATTGAAAATCTGAATGGTGTAAATTGATGCTATCAGCGTCCCTAATACACATAACAAATTGAACATTGAAATGATGTAAATTGATGCTATAAGTGTCCCTGATACACATAAAAAAATTAAGAAAAGCTCTTATCAATCTCTTATAAGTTTGTTTTCCCACATGTTTGATATAATTTTATTTAATAGTATATCATAAATATGCTTGTTCACAAATTTAGCTAATTAAATTGAAATGGCAGGTGTGTAGGCTTATTCCCTCATATTATATAAAATCTGTTATATAGCAGAAAAAAACTGAGTGAAACTTTACATTGGAAGGCTAAAATGGATTTTGCATATATTAGTATATCATTGTAATGCAACTTTTTCAAAATAACAAAAAATATGAAGCTCGTATTTTCAATAACTTTCAATTCTTCTGGCGTTTTTGAAACAAATCTTCCCGATAAATGAAAATTAACCAGATGTGAAGAAAGTCCAATGAAATTTTAGTTGTGACATCAGAAATTAAAAGAAAAAAAATTGATTTTGATGTGGAGTATTTTTTTTATGGCATATATGAAATCCAGTTGTGTAATATGAAATGGTTCTAGAGAGTTCACATAATGTAGAAAATGTGTTTCACAAGTGGAAGCCCAACTTCAAACTATTTCAAATTATTATTAATTATAAGTGTTATTTATGGATGCAATCAAATAATATATATTTCTATGGCCAGGTGTGACTTTTAAATGAGCCAATATATAATTATAGCTTTCATAAGTTAATTAATTTTTACCAGTCAGGACATTAATAATTCTAAATGTTTATGTACAGCTTCCAAACCAACTGCGTATTGAATTCTTTCATCAAAATTAAAAGGATACTATGGACATAAAATTTTTCAAACTTGGTCAATAAGTGCATATATTCATCAGTTGGACTTGCAAGCTACATGACTAAAGAATAGAATCTCTATATAAGACGATATACTGGTATCCATTAAACTACATAATTATTGAAAAAAGCTTCTAAGCATGTTTTAGTTTTATAGATTTATTAGATTATAGAGGGATTCTGTTATATAGTTATGAAACTAAAATTTCAATTAAGAGGTATTTGTCATACATTGTAGTTAAAGAGATTTGTACAGAGGTTTTCTAAAAAAATTTATGTGTATCGGGGTCACTGATAGCATCAATTTGCACCAATTAAATCTCTCAATCAGACTTCTTTGGTTCCTGCATATCCACAAAAAATTAGGAATTTAAGGTTATAATATTGCGGTTAAGCAATGTTACGAAAGCACAGGCACAGACGGGTTTGATGACGTCTCTAATTGCAAAATATTATCATCAAACAATTTTAGTAGAATTGCAGGAACCACAGATGTCGGACTGAAAATTGGAATAGTGCAAATTGATGCTATCAGTGTTCTTAAAAAAAACATAAAATATTTAGAAACCATCTCTTTAAATTAATTTTAAATCAATGTATAATTTTGAAACTATTGGAGAATTGTTATTCATTCAAATGCTTTGACTTTCTGGGGTGTTCAGCTTGACAGGCAATGCAACTCAGTGTACAATGAGGGAAATTTTGTCTATTTAAGTCCAGTCTGTATGAAAAATATAGATCAGCATTGTGGAAAAGAATCACGAAAGTACTTGTCATATTCAAAGTAATATAGTTCTCTAAATATTTTCTATTTCAACAGCTTAGTTTCAGCTGTGAATATTACTTTTAAGCATTAATAATGCAACATACAGTTCTTCTGCAATTCAAATATCATATGGTTTAGACCACATTATGAACATTGGTATGTGCAATTTTAAAAAATAGCTCCACCTTATCAATAATAAGTCTATGAAAAATTATTTTGGTCTGAAAGTTATGCCAGGTTTTGGTGGTTTTGCAGGAGAACCTGACATTGGATTTTAATTCTGAAAAAGGTTAAGGATAGCTGAAATTGAGCTAGTAGAGAAAATATGTAGAAGACTTTATCCAATTAAGGGTATACCCCTTAAACTCTGTATATATATTTCTAACCATTCAACAGTCTATTTCTGTAACATATGTTGTCAAGTTGTTATACAAACAGTCATAATTTATCAGATGTATATATTTCATTATTATAATAATAAAAAAAATCTTTCTTTTGAAACTTCAAACTTGTTTTGAGTGTTTTATCTTACCCTAAAGCACCGGGCCAAATCTCAGAAGCACTGGCACAGGCATCAGAATTTTTCTTACCTTGAGAAGGATTCGAACCCACGGCACCTTCACAATGTCAAGCTATTACAAACTTTGTCTTCTACCTTGTTTTCTTGTATCACGAAAGCATGTAAATGCAGTGATTTGATTGGATTGTACACCTAGCAACTACAGCCAATCAGAGCACTCCACAGAAAGGTCTGTTAAATATATGCGATAAAGTTTACAGTCTTTCTGTTGGTGGATCTGATTGGCTGTATTTGCTAGTGTACAATCCAATCAAATTGCTGCATTCCATGATACATTAATTATGGCTATTGAAGTCAAGGTATAACAAGACCCTTCAGCAAACTTCATGTTGAAGATCTACGTGTGATATCCTTTAATAAGATGGAGGCAGTTGATAATTTAGTATTTTATGATCCTCGATAGCCCAAATAGCTTTGTGGACAACTTCTGTGATGCATATCTAAATATAGACAGCTTTGATCTTGACTTTGAGTTACATATGATATACTGACCCAGCAAATCTATCCCACAAATTTAGAATCAAGCTTGACAAAGACAATTCACAGGGAATCATATCAGGGCTCTTGATTTATTTTTTCCAGAAGAACTTTTCTAGGCTTTTTTTTCAGACAGAAAAACTGTCATGTCTATCAAATATGGCCAGACCACTAACCCTGGTCAAGATGTTTTAACTATAATGATTCAGAGGTTACTGAGTCAAACCACATAGTTACTATGAATGAGTGATTGAGTACAATATAACATTCAAATGAGTACAACAAATATAGTCAAATCAGCAGACATAAGAATTAATGCAACAGAAATGTCTGCATCAAACATGTACTGGTTGATGAACTGGATAAATACTTTGACATCAAAGTATATGACTAGTAGGCAATCTAAAGAATCTGAAACCAGATGTTGGATATAATGAGGAAATAATAGGTTCATTGATAAGAAATCAAACTAATTTCAGCCTCATCCTTCATCTCAAGGGTATTTACTAAAACAAACGTCCAAATTTTCATTTCCACTTTTACTGCTTATAATTACACCTTATGAAAAATGGATAGTTCAATGAGACTTGAAGCTAATGAAGACTTAATGCATCCAATATATCTTTCAGATGAATTGAATCTGGCTGCTTTGAAATGCCTGATTGCTTGCTGCCTTGTCTTTGCTTGCTCCATTGTCATAACTTGTCGGTTGTGCTCACATATATTCTCTTGCCTTGCTGTGTTCTCATTTTTACTGTTCTCTTGTCATGTTGTGTTCTCTTGACTTGTTGTTCTCTTGCCTTGCTGCTATCTTATATTTTGCTGTTCTCTTGCCTTGCTGCAATCTTATATTTTGCTGTTCTCTTGCCTTGCTGCTATCTTATATCTTGCTGTTCTCTTGTCTTGCTGTGTTCTCATTTCTTGCTGTTCTCTTGTCTTGCTGCTATCTTATATCTTGATGTTCTCTTGCCTTGCTGCTATCTTATATCTTGATGTTCTCTTGTCTTGCTGCTATCTTATATCTTGATGTTCTCTTGTCTTGCTGTTTTCTCATTTCTTGCTGTTCTCTTGCCTTGCTGCTATCTTATATCTTGATGTTCTCTTGTCTTGCTGCCATCTTATATCTTGATGTTCTCTTGTCTTGCTGTGTTCTCATTTCTTGCTGTTCTCTTGCCTTGCTGCTATCTTATATCTTGATGTTCTCTTGTCTTGCTGTGTTCTCAGTTCTTGCTGTTCTCTTGTCTTTGCTGCTATCTTATATCTTGCTGTTCTCTTGTCTTGCTGCTATCTTATATCTTGATGTTCTCTTGTCTTTGCTGCTATCTTATATCTTGCTGTTCTCTTGTCTTGCTGTGTTCTCATTTCTTGCTTTTCTCTTGTCTTTGCTGCTATCTTATATCTTGCTGTTCTCTTGTCTTTGCTGCTATCTTATATCTTGCTGTTCTCTTGTCTTGCTGTGTTCTCATTTCTTGCTATTCTCTTGTCTTTGCTGCTATCTTATATCTTGCTGTTCTCTTGCCTTGCTGCTATCTTATATCTTGATGTTCTCTTGCCTTGCTGTGTTCTCATTACTTGCTGTTCTCTTGCCTTACTGCTTCCTAATCTTGCATTTCTTTTTTCCTACTGTTTTCTCATGTCTTGCTTGACATACATTTTTATTTATAAAAGGTCATCAGGGCATATTCTAACTATCTTACTAATAACAATTTCTTTTCACAAGTGTCTACAGAGATTTGCTAATTGTTCAGCTAATAATCTATTGTTTCAAGCCTTGCCTACATGATATTATCATCTTAACCTTCACTAATAGCTTTTTAATGTTATTATTCACTCATTATCCACCTCTAAATTGAAGAGCTCATAAAAATCTAATTTCCAAAAAAGAAGATCTCAAATGGCATTACAATGAATTCTTTTGGTTACGAAATTAAATTGTCTATTTTATAACTTTGTCTTTTTCTTTTCTCGTGAGATCAAAATTCCAAATGTTCATTTTATTTTCTTTAAAATTCATCATATCATTTTTTATAAAAGGACATTAAACCCAGAATTGAAAGAATTTTTCAAAGAATTGTACATCTTAAAATCTGTACATACATAGCTCAATCTCAGCTATCCATTATCCATATATCACTTTACACTAAGACAATCTGGCATCTGGTTGTCCTGCAATTCATTCTGTGCAAAATTTGAAAATTTCAGGTAAAACACTATATTTCGGGATCTATATCCCAATGGATGGAAGCTTTGTTTCAAACAGATATCCCCGCTACAAAATTTCCGCCTAGCCTGACAATCTGGCTCTACCCAGTATTTGCTGTTAAGTTACAGGCATGTAGGCTCTAGAGAGAGGGTATTGTTTGCGCATTTAGTTTGAATAATATGATATAATTTAAATATATGAAATGAAAATCTATAATCTCTGAGAATCTGAAAATATATAAGAAGAATACTGGTTCCCACAGGAATATTGATATCAATGAAAATTATAATAAGCCTACTGGTGAAACTTAGGAATATTTGCTCCATTGGAAAGAAAACTGTATGTCCAAAGGGTAACATCAAATAGCTATGGTAACCTTATACCTTACAAAAAGTAATTTGGACACTATATCCACATACTGTTAAATGAACTTAATGAATAAATTATAAGTATAGACGTTCTGTATTGCGTACATTATATTTTGTATATATATTGTAAATTATGCACTGTATATTATATAAGTGAACTATACAAATAAAATATTACTCTTTACTCTCATTCAAACTGTAATGACAAACAAACATCCATAAAAAAATATTCAATATTTGAAAATTTGAGTTCATAGTGAATTAAAAAAAAGTTCAATTCAAAAGCCACAATTCCCAGAGAATTTAACTCTGCATTGTCAAAAAAGTGTCCATAAATTGGTAATTTCACATATGAAATAAATACACTTCCCTTATGGCTCAACTAGATGATTGGCCTGTGGACTTAAGTGTGTTGGGGCCCCTCACCCCAGGAATGCTCTCCTTCATATTTTTTGGGGGTGGGGCCTCTGTATAAGTGGGGGTCCGTGGATTTGGTTCAATCAGCCCTCTGGTAATGGAGCCTCTGTACTTCATTGCCACAAATTCTGTGTGAAAACATTTCAGAAAGAAAATGGCTTAGTGTGAACACAAAATTCATTAGTGTAAAAATTCTCACAACACAAGAACAAGAATCAGGAATTTTTCTGTCAAATTAAACATTTTCATGTGCAGTTTCTGGAAGGAAACTTTAAATATTTGTGAAATGACTGAAAAATTCAATTCTGAAACCATAGTGGTAGAGAGCAGGTTCACATATCATTTTTTTTTATATAAGTGTAAAATAAGTTTAAAGGGAGATAACAACCAAAAATCTCAAGTCATTAGTACAACAATTGAACTAAAAACATAACAAACCATTAAGAGGCGCTCAATTGGTTAGTTCTGCATGTCTGGGATTAATGGAATCAACTGGATGTTCAATAAAACAAGCTGGAATAGGGTTCAGAATGCGTTTCACTTGTGCTGGAAAAACATTAGGTGTAGACAGAATTCAAAATGGCAGAGAAAGGAATAGAAGGGAAAAATTCCAATGTGACATATTTGGTTCCGTACCGTTTGATGGAGACCAGAATTGAAACTGGAAATTGGAACTCACCAATCGAGCACAACCTTAAAATTCATAAATGTATTCGAAAATAAAGTTACATTAGTAAAAATCTAGTCCACAAAAAAACATTTTATATCACAATAATAAACAATATAAGCTATCATAATTAAAAAAAAAAAAAATAACAGCGAGATTTTGATTTTTAACATAGACACTGAATAAAAATACTGATATCATTTCATCTGGTTTCTTTAACAAACAATATATACCTCTTGATAAAAACATTAAAAAAAATACAATACATGGGACTAAATAATTCATATTATGCATGGTGTCTTCATTTGACGTCTGCTAGGGGATTAGGTGGCTTGGCTTCAAAACCTCTTTAAGTTATGAAAAATTCTGCTGCCAAAGCCATTGCTTCTGTGAGTTAGCAGCATTCATTTACAGTCATCGTAAAGTTAATTTAATATGTTGTAAGAAAAAAAGCATCTTCATAGGTGTGGAAAATCTCCATAAAACAGGGCCAAGTTTTTCTGACTCTACTCCAGCCAACAACTGTCCAAATATCTATCACAGACTGGCATAGAGACAAATGTTTCGGACTAACTCTTGACTTAATTTGAGCATATTTGTGTAAGATCTTGGGGTAAATTTCCTAGACTTCAACTATAATTCATCGTGTTCTGGTAAATCACCTTCCATTAATAACTGATAAACTTTATAAGGGTCGACATTCCAGTGTTTGTGAAAGGAGACAGGAAGTTGGTTGGACAGAAACTCTTCACTGTAATCTTCTGGTCTAGCCTTAAATAGATAGAGAAACATAGAATTCTAACAACCACAACCAAATTCATGTATATATCTACTATGTGTTATAGGTATATGATATCTATTTATTACCTGATGTATATATCTACTATGTGTTATAGGTATATGATATCTATTTATTACCTGATGTATATATCTACTATGTGTTATAGGTATATGATATCTATTTATTACCTGATGTATATATCTACTATGTGTTATAGGTATATGATATCTATTTATTACCTGATGTATATATCTACTATGTGTTATAGGTATATGATATCTATTTATTACCTGATGTATATATCTACTATGTGTTATAGGTATATGATATCTATTTATTACCTGATGTATATATCTACTATGTGTTATAGGTATATGATATCTATTTATTATCTGATGTATATATCTACTATGTGTTATAGGTATATGATATCTATTTATTACCTGATGTATATATCTACTATGTGTTATAGGTATATGATATCTATTTATTACCTGATGTATATATCTACTATGTGTTATTGGTATATGATATCTATTTATTACCTGATGTATATTATCTACTATGTGTTATAGGTATATGATATCTATTTATTACCTGATGTATATATCTACTATGTGTTATAGGTATATGATATCTATTTAAACACATTCCTATAATCATATCATCAGGTGAATCTATAGATGGACATGAACACTTCTCAGATATAAAATTAGCAACAGGTCGACTAAAAATCATTCTGAAATGTAGAAACAAATATCAACATTACAGTTAGCAGGCATCTTGGATCTGTAATTAAGCAATGTTCCCATTAGGCAGAGTCACATAGATTGATAGTAGATTTGTCATTTACAATTTATTATTTCAAAATGAGGAGCAGGAGCCTCATTCTGAAAAACAGTAACTTGATTAGACAAGACAACCAAATTGACCAATCAGACGACTGGAAATCTAAAATCATACTGAGTTAAGTTTCGAATATGATTGTTACCTAATCATTTTTATAGCTTTTTATCTGTTATCTTACAAACAGAAGGAATGATCTCAAGGTATAATTCATGCACTTAGATGTTAATGAATGGTTAAGCATTACTTATCAAATTAAGCTTTTGAGTTGCACTTGATTTGATCAAAGTGTAGACTTACCCCCCACCCCCTGTGATGTAATCATAACCAAAACCTTTTGATACACCATAACCATATCTTTCACCAAGAGCTATTTTATCTTCTGAATTATAACAAGACAGCAGACGTCGTAATCTTTTCAGACTGAAAAAAATTGTACAATGAGGTAAATTTTGCTACAAGAGCGTCCATAGCCTATTGCCTTAAGATTTCAATCAGCACTTCCCACATGGTCACTCAGTTTATTTTTCAAATCCAAATGATTCGATGCTTTTTCATATCCACAACCTAAAAAACCGCATCACAAAATGCCAACACTAGAGAGGGTAGAAATTTGATTGGTTAAAGCAGACATCATCGAATTAAGTCAAAAGGTTAATTTGACGAATATTCAAGAACGCTGTCATTAGACCCTAACTGAAGTGGCTATATTAAAAATAAAAGCTAATAAAGAATGAAACGAAAGTTTGATCTAATTAGAAATTGACTGCATGTGAGAAATATGCTATAATAACATATCAAACATGTTAATCCTAGTTCTTGAGCATTGAGAACTGTGTCTTACTTTATTACAGTATCATCATCAGCTATTAATAACCATTTTTTATTTTTATATTTATCTTCATTAATAAATCTTCTAATGATAGATATAGTCTTCTCACAATGTCCTGGTAGAACAAAAACAAGTTACAGCTATAGTTTAACTTAGTTATCCTTGGTATACATAGACGTCCTTGGTATGCTATGGCAAAGACATCCTTGGTATGCTTTGCCAAAGACATCCTTGGTATGCTTTGCCAAAGACATCCTTGGTATGGTTTGCCAAAGACATCCTTGGTATGCTATGCCAAAGACATCCTTTGTATGCTTTGGCAAAGACATCCTATGTATGCTGTGACAAAGACATCCTTGGTATACATATACGTACTTGGTATGCTATACCAAAGACATCCTTGGTATGTTATGCCAAAGACATCCTTAGTATGCAATGCCAAAGACATCCTTAATATGCAATGCCAAAGACATCCTTAGTATGCTATGCCAAAGACATCCTTAGTATGCTATGCCAAAAACATCCTTAATATGCAATGCCAAAGACATCCTTAGTATGCTATACCAAAGACATCCTTGGTATGCTATGCCAAAGACATCCTTAGTATGCTATGCCAAAGACATCCTTAATATGCAATGCCAAAGACATCCTTAGTATGCTATGCCAAATACATCCTTGGTACACTATGCCAAAGACATCCTTGGTATACTATGCCAAAGACATCCTTGGTATAGACATCTTTGGTATGCTATGACCATGACATCCTTGAAAACCTTGAAATTAGTTTGCTCGGAAGGTTTAACTTTGTCAAGGAGAATGGTGAAGCCTGATGTTAAATCTCGGGTATCTGAAAAAAAACCTAGAGGTGGCACATGGATGAAATATACCTGACCAATGGCTGTTAGTGTTGAAAGGATTTATGACAAACATACCTCTCTCAGTATTAGCTACACCGAGATTTATGGTAGGTATAGAGCTATCTTCTGTCTCACTAAAATATTCTGTATCTATATTTTCTTTACCCCAGGTTCCTTTTACCACTGGTACTAAAACATATATTTGAAAATTTGGTTATTGTTTGTTTCATCCTTGGAGACTTTCGACAGCGAGCTGTGAACACTATCACTGATTGGCTTTGCTAAAAAATTCCCGTTTCTGAGACTAAAGTATGATTGGTCCAAAAAATGACACACCTGTCCCTTTCAAGGTATCCTGAAAGGGGTAACAGAATGAAAAAAGAAGTTTGAAAACTCCTGGACTAATGAATGATAATAAAAGTATATTGAAATGATCAAAGGGAGATCCTTTTCATTACAAACTTACTTCTGTCTTTATGAAATTTTTCACAAGTTTTAACTCCAATATATAAATCTTCTTCTGGTATAGCTGGTCCCTGAAATAAGAACTGAGATCAGTACTTTGGGTTCAATTCTTGATCCTTATCAGTGAGTTTGACTAAATAATTCAATTTTTAATATGGTTTTTCCTTGGGTGATTACTAAGACTCAAACCAAGTTTCGTAAAATCCGTCAAGAAACCAGCTTTTTATTGTGTTCACACCACACAAGGGCAATAACTGATTTTCTGATTATGAATAGGTTTCATTCTTGGATGACTACAAAAACTCACACCAAGTTTCTTCAAAAGCCATCAAGAAAATAGTTCTCTATAGTGTCCACAATAATTATGTTTGCGCACAAATCAGATCATGTTTACTATTTGAAACACCTGATGGTACTTAAGTTTAGAGGAGTTCACAACTTTTACTCGTTTAGCCATTCTTTGAATGAGATTTTAGATTGACAGAATTGTTATGCTTGTACTGATTTTTAATAATACAATAATTGTAAGGGTTAAAGTTCATACTTACACATTTAGGAAATATAAATGGTGATGTTGTTACACAATCTTTATCATCAGATATTGTACAGAATTCTTTTACATCTGTTAAATTAACCCCTTTATTTTCATTGTTAATAAACATTGCTAACTGAAATAAAACAAGGGCAACAACTCCTTACATTGGCAAAATTAGTTTAGGAATAAAACCAGAACTTCTTGAGATATATCCTTGCATAGTTTAGGAATTTTGATATGAGTGAAGCCTTCAACTGTTAATGATTAAAAGATTAAGCCAGTTGCTCTCCAGATAAAATTTCACCCTGGATGCTGCCTGTGCAAAAAATATAGTGTAAAGCTCAATCTATCTAAAATATTCTTTAAACTATTCTCTCCATCTCAGAATCTAAAGATAGTGGACCACAGCCATATACACCCACCACGGCATGCGAATGGTAAATATTCAAGATTTTGGGGCAAGGGCAATAACCCTGCCGTTGGATGGACAGACGGACAGGGTTGCTGGCAATATATGTCTGCATAGAGAGATGTGGGCGTATAAAAATGATTGTATGTACTGCAAACATTGACACCAATATAAAATAAGTGATACAAAAATATCAAAAGCATTTTTACCTCATGTTTAAAATCTATTGTAAAACCAGTTTTGATTTCATCTTTAGACAGACGTTTTGATAGGCTGAAAAAGATAAAATGTACAGTTTCACACAAAGAAAGAAGCATTGTATTTAAAATTTACCATTCCCAAGAATCTACTGGTACTATACTAAACCTCTTATAGTACTGCCTGACAATATGACAGTCTCCTTGAAGTTTGCCTTTTTTAAATCATAGTGACATCAATTAATTAATTAGGAACTAGTTAGATAGCTTGATCGATTATACTCTGCTAGGCAATCAGATGTCTACAGCCCTTTTTACAACAGGTCTCTACAAAGCGTTCCGTTCTCAGTCTGGAAGAGGCTGCAAAAGCTTTTGCTAATTTACATTACAGTATATTCAAGTAGTCTGAGAATGGTTCTTTAGTTGTAGTGTTAATGACAAGCGTTCTCGGCACAGTTATCTGTGGAAGTCTTCTTGAAGAAGTTAAAATTACATGTTGTTGTCACCTTGATGTAATCAATGACATCTGAATGTAATCAACAATTACTCTGAATATTTATGCAATTCTGCGGGAATGGGTGATAGGTTATGCCTTTCAAAATACATATCTGTCACAATCATTTTAGCCACTCCCCTATCTGTTACATCACCTTATCTAACCAATCAAATCTTACCTTTGTAATAGACCCTGACTAAAAAACATCCCTGCTGCAGGATCAGGATATTTAAATACTGTTGGATCTTCAAAAAATGCAAAATGGTGAATAATGGTAGCACTTTTATCATATAAGGCTTTACCAAGAAAATATTTCTAAAATAGAGAATTACAGAACAATTAGAAGGTTAAAATTTGCTTCAGTTATTGTTTAAGGACAGCCCATCTTGAACGTTTGTAAAATTAACCTTTTGACCTAACTCGATGATGTCTGCTTCTACCCTCTTTGGTGCTGGAATTTTGTGATTTTGTTTATCAGTTTAGGTTAATTTGAAAGTTTGGTCTGATTTGGTCTTTTCTCTTCATTCCATTCTTCATGGATAATCTTAGAAAGATCAATGACATAAGGTTTTGCGAAAAATCAGCTGGTAAACAGAGTCCTCTTGAATATATTTAGTTGTTATCCCTGTGAATAAAAGTTCCGATATGCCAGAACCAACCAAAACAGCACATAAAATCATAATTAATATTGCTGTGGTACCTACTTGCTTGTGAGAATATTTTTCTAAAACTTGTAGTATTCTCTTTAAATCTATTCTAGTTTCTTCTTCAACAAAAATAATCCAGGCCTTATCTTTAAATAATTCATTGAGACTGAAATATTTAAAATAGGTACCGTAATGAAATAAATAAAATAGACTGTAAGAAACTCTAAATTTGAGTTACCATAGTTTGTGATGCCCACTTATTGCATCTGTTTTCTTTTTATTTAGAATATTCTGTTTCTATACATGCAGTAAGTTTAAATGTTTAAAATCTATAATAAATAGAACAAGTGGTTGCCTAGCAAGATACGCCCACTTTTCTGATACATTTTCAGTATATCAAGGGTAGTCACCTATCTGTGTCAAATCATACCAAAAATCTAATGTGTGCAAGATATTGTTAAGTTAAACAAAGACACATTATTTAATAAAATTCAGACATAAATTGTCACCTATATCGCCAACAAATTATAATGTGGGCAAAATATTCTTTCTTTAAGTCAAACATTTTAGTCAAATACAAAACTTTGTACAAAATTACCTCTGAATTATAGACAGAATAGTCCAACTTCCAGTTGACGGCCATTTTTTATGCAACAAATATACTTCTGGTTTATTTTCCTGAAATAAAATCAATTTCTAGTGATTTCTTTTGATAAAATCAACATGCAAAATTCTAAATCTACAATTCTTTTTAGATTTTCTCCACATGAAGATGGGCAATGCCATGCAGTATACAATGTGGAAAGTTTTGGCAGGACAGCACTTTACTTGCCAATTGGGCATTTTGGCAGATCTTTTGAACATTCCCCTAGAGCTCAGTTGAGTTAACTTACCAGCCTGATAACTTCATTTCATTGACTTACCTGTGATAGTTCTGTCAATTGGTTTTGAAAATGATCAGTAAATAATTTTGCTCTTTGTTTATGATAAGTATTAGGTTGGCTTAATACTATAAAAACTAAATCTTTTAACTCTATATCATCTACAATATAAAATCAATGATTGTACAGAAACACCTCTCTCTATCGCTGGGTTGAAACACTGCCTTTTATATTGTGGCAGACTTAGCCTATACATCAATCAGGGGAATGTTGTCTTCTAGTTGATTTGGTGCCTTTAAGTCATATTCCCCTCAAAACAAGACAAATTTGATTCCTTGGTCAGACCTTCTGAGACTCAAACCTTTGTAAGTATTCAATCCCTTCTACATAAACTGGTCGCTGAAGCAAATAACAATTTGTAAAAATAAGAGAATTAAACTTCACATTTAAAAACCTAAATTCTCACCTTGTGAAGATTTGTTTAGATTTCCTCCATCTTCATTCATTACTTCTGACACAAGAACTGAAACAAATCAAATTCGAAAATCTTTACTTTCGTTTTTCAAGTTGAAAGTTGATGCTTACTCTTTCGCAAGATGAGTTAGTGCTGAATCTAATGAAAAATGGATGTTGGAAAAGATCTAAGATATTGAAGAAAAAAATTAGAAGTATAAACAACAATTTAGAATGTTAGACAATGTATAAATAAACAATAAAACTTACAAAATGTCAAAATTAACAAAATCTTTTTCTCGAAAGCAGCCATGTTATATTTTCACTTTGACCTACTTTTCTTAGTTAAAAGGAGAAATTTGATTAGACGCTATTTATAGCAAACCAATAAAATTATTGGATACAAATTTGTCTTGGAAGCCACATTGTTTACAAATGGCGACTGTTCAAGGATTTCCCAAGTGGTTACTGAATTGTAAAGATGATATCACGAAATCAAAGGTAATCTGTCTGTATTGATTGTGTTAGTCAGTAAGATGAATTATTAAATAAGTCGTATGAATAAGTGTCTGGCCTTTATTAATATTTAATAACTCGAGTTTAGACAGTACCCCTCTCTACTTTTGACCTGTGAGCATCTAGAGGTAGAGCTATAGGCTAATCATGCAGGTTAAAACATCTGGTTAGGGTTAAACTAAACCCAATATTTTATTTCCAGTGATTTAATCTATTTGTTCTAAAGATCACCAACAATCCTATATTATTTGATCATGGTTTTGTAAAAGATATGGCCATGATCAACAAGATATGTTTGATTTATAGGCCTAATCTAATCGTAATGTAATGTGAATGAGCTTATAGCTAGTTGTGAAAGATTAAATTGGAAAGGTTTTTTAACCTAACTAAACCTGATATAGTTTTTATTATGCTTTTATGTTTCAAATGAAAAAAAGATCACTTTATGTTGCAAGCAGATCATATATTATATAAGCTTATTGGCCATTTGAAATCTAAATGTGTAAAGCCTACATCTAATGTGCATAATATAAAAATGAAATGAATGGAGTTTTACGTTCTACTTTTCTGCACCTTGTTGGCTAATGAAAACAGGCAAGTTCATGCAGGGTGCAATGAGGGAAATTTTGCCAGGACAGCAGCTTTAGCCTGCTCTTTTTCGATTTCCAACTGTCGAAAGATCTTAAAAGAGCACAGCCTGTAGTACACAGGGCCTCGGATTATTGCTGATATGTATCTAAGAAACAAGCTCAAACCATCTGTGTAGAATAAGTTAGCTTAAGCTTATATCAGATATATAGTAATAACAAATATTTTTATACATTCATATGATACTTTATTTTTTTTTTTTACCAAGGAATGGAGCTCATTTCTAAAGGAATTACATGATGCTATACAACAACAACTAACAGAGAGTCATGTTCAATATTTTACTGATTTATCTGAACCAGAAAAGGAACTGTTTATGCTCAGAGCAACTAAGGCTATAGAAGGAGGTAAAGTAACTTTCAGTAGAAAAGACAAATAGTATGACACTTTCAATACCATATCCATGATAATCCATTATGAAAGTATGTTATACTCTGAAATAAACAGACAAGCTTATGAGCAAGAAGATGTTGGAACAGTTGAGAAAAGTTGAACTCTAAGCTGATTTGGGTTTTCAATATATTAGCTTGATAGATATAACAAGTCTTGATAAGTGAGCACGTTTCTCATTCTTCAAATCATGTACCGGTATCGATATTTAACATAATGCATATTTAATGAAAGAAGATATCAGACGAGGAATTGATTCTTCTCAAATGTTCAGACCTAGAGAAATCGAAAGAGAAGCTTTCATCTTTGAAATATTTCATAGAATCTTGATATAGATGAAACAAGAACTTGCTCAGACCTGGCATGTAGTATCTAGTCTGAAACATCTGCCTCTATTCCTTTTCCTGATAGATATTTCGACAGTTATCAACTGGAGTAGAGTCAGAAAAACTAGGCCGCGTTTTATGGAGATTTTCCACACCTCTTAGGACCCGGCACCTTTGGAAATGCAGAAAAATTCCCATAAACCGGCCTAGTTTTTCTGTCTCTACACCAACCAACAACTGTCAAAATATCTCGCGGTCTAGTAATTTTTTGCTTACACAGTTACTGATGGTATAGAATGGAACAACACTAATTAGTGCTTTCATTGAGATTTACTACAGTCTAATACTAATCACATAAAGGTTTTAATAATTGGAGAAATCATCTTTGATATGATATGCTAAAAATACAACACATGAATAACTTGAGTAGGACAACCACTCTTACAACTGTTAAAGTTGTATATCATGTGAAATGCAAACAGCTTCTATCACATTACGGCCAATCTCTTTTATTTCAGGTAATGTGTATAAAAATGTATCAGGAAAAGTTTCCAATCTGTTAGATCAACATCTGAATAATGATGTAGCTAAACAGTTACTAGAGGATTACCCCATAGACACCAAATCAGATTTAATTATAGAAGGTGCAGAAGAAGGGGCATTAAGTTTATTGAAAAAATGGCCAGAATTCAAATCCAAACTCCATATCTGTCTGAACCAACCTTTACCTCCTACTATGAGACAACTTGCTTGGAGGCTGTATCTTAGCAACACTAAATGTAAGTACAAATGAATTCTAAATATATGACACTAATACCAATCCATGTTTAAATCTACTTTAAAACTGTTCATAGAAAATGTTATGTTTTCACTTACCTATTGATATGACATGTCATGATTTCAACATGTACAGTCTGTAGCGCACGTGATATCATCGATGAAAGGGATTTAAGAAAGTCCAAATTACTATCTTGACTCATAACAGAAATAATCTACAAATTAATTTCTGAAAACTGAACTGAAAATTGACTTGAAAATGACTTTTGGTGGTTAAAGGAACATTCTGCTTTTTTGTGGGTCAAAATTCTTTTGGGCTCAAATCCTTTTAATATACACCTATCATTTGTTTGTAACTCTTGTATATTTCAGTTCGTAAAACCTATTTAGAATTATTAAAGACTGATAGAAAGAGTTGTATATCACCACATGATCTAGATATATCACGAAAATGTGAACAACTATTATTATCAGAACCTACATTTGATGAGTTGAAAGGTTCAGTAGGTAGGATCTTTGTTTCTTTTCCTTAAAGTTTTAAGCCCTTTTGTCTTAACGATTGTATTGGGTTTACTTGTCATTAATTGGGTTTACTTGTCTTCATTACTAAGGTTTACTTGTCATCATTTTTTATGGTTTACTTATCATCATTAGTCAGGTTTACTTGTCATCATTAGTTGGGTTTACTTGTCATCATTAAATTGGTTTACTTGTAATCATAAGTTTGATTTACTTGTCATGATTAGTCGGGATTACTTGTCATTATTAGTAAGTTTTACGTGTCTTCATTAGTCTTCAATAGTCAGGTTTACTTGTGATCATTAGTCAGGTTTACTCATTTTCATTAGTTAGGTTTACTTGGTGTCATAAGTAATGTTTATGTGTCATCGTTAGTCTTCAATAGTCGGGTTTACTTGTCATCATAAGTTGGGTTTACTTGTCATCATAAGTCGGGTTTACTTGTCATCATTAGTGCAGAAAAATCAGCTGTGCAACTCTATGTCAGGAAATATTTTTGTTATTTATTTAAAGGTGGATTCTGTTTTTTTTCTCTTTAAAAAGGAGCATTTTATGCAATGAAGGCTGTTCTATCATATAATCATGCTATACAGAGAAGTAAAACAAGAGTCAGAGATATGGACTATATGTTAATTGTTCCTTTTGTTCAAGTTGCTGCTCCTAACTTTTCAAGGTGGGTCTTTTTTCTGATTTTTGTCCGTTGAAACACATTTTCATTAGCTGACACAATGGACATTGTTCAAACAAAACATTGTGTATGCCGATTTGTCACATGATTTTTGTTTTGGAAAAATGTTTTATTATTTGCAATACCTTGATTGCAGCTAATGAACATTTCATAAGAGGAAATATTTTAATGAGAAATTATAAATCCATCTTGGACATTATTTTCAGAAACGAACCAGCACCAAATCGTGTTGTTGCCATGTTAGTAGAAGAATTTTTAACATTCAATGAATCTAAACCAGGTTATATAACAGATTCAGGCTCTCAGGTAAGTTTTAAGATCAAAACAGAAATTACTTTCAGATTGTGACTGGTGTTGCTAGCAAGACAAACCATGTTTACCCTTGAGGAACACCGATCAATTCTGCTACTGGATTTGTCTTTCCTTGAAAGGGATTGTAAAGAAGTTTTCTAAAATTCTTATGTGTAGAGGGGACACTGATAGCATCCTACATAAAATATGAAATTTGGAAATAAATATTTTGTTATTTTACAGACAGACAATGAAGAAATGACAGCATTCTCTAATAAAGTTTTAGTTATATTAGAAAAGTTATATCCAGAAATTCCAAGAATTATTGGTTCTGCTTATGTTCCTTCTCAAGGTAATTATCATGTATTCAGTAAAAAGAAACTCTTGTTACCAACACATGCTTTGGATACACAATCCTCATCAGGATCAATCTAATTGAAATTACTAATTTCGTTGCTATTGTTTTTTTCTGTCTCAATTATAATCAAGGTTGCATACTAGTTGGTTGGTAGATGACAAGTTAAAGTTCGCTGATGCCGATATCGCAAACTAGGTAGTTGTTGGTAGTCATAGCCAATCAAAATCGCTTTTACTAGCGGGTATCGTCAGTTTCATAATTTCAGAAGACATCATTTATCATTGCACTCTTCTTTCGGTTTCGCTATCCCACAATTCATAGTCGATATTTAGACAGAGATTCTCCATGACTGACAAAATCCTTGTATCATTGTAGAAAAGACTGAAGCCAGTTCAAAAGCAGTGTTAACAGAAGGTTTAACAATGTTAATAAGACCATTCATTAGAGCTGTGTTTGTTGGTAAGTAAGGCATTTCCTCTTAAGATACATTATGGTTACTATAAAATATAGGCCGTTAAGGTTATCTGAAGATGGAAGCATTATTATATATTTAGGTCATCTCACTATATTTCGTTTTATCTGTCACCATAATTGAGGGTTTTTATTTTAGGATATCTGAAGATTGATTAATTATTATATTTTAGGTTATCTGTGACTATAATTTAAGGATATCTGAAGATAGATGTATTATTATATTTTAGATTATCTGAAGATGGATGTATTATTATATTTTAGATTATCTGAAGATAGATGTATTATTATATTTTAGATTATCTGAAGATAATGTATTATTATATTTTTAGGTTATCTGTCACTATATTTTAAGGTTATCTCAAGATAGAAGAGTTATTATATTTGAGGTTATCTGAAGATTGAAGATTGTATTATTATATTTTATGTTATCTGTTACAATAATTTAAGGTTATCTCAAGATGGAAGTGTTATTATATTTGAGGTTATCTGAAGATTGAAGATTGTATTATTATATTTTATGTTATCTGTCACTATAATTTAAGGTTATCTCAAGATAGAAGGGTTATTATATTTGAGGTTATCTGAAGATTGAAGATTATATCATTATATTTTATGTTATCTGTTACAATAATTTAAGGTTATCTCAAGATGTATGTATTATTATATTTTAGGTTATCTGTCATTATATTTTAGGTTATCTGAAGATGGATGTATTACTCTATGTATGGGATCAGTATATAATTGGACTAGATATCCCAGGGTTTGGTACTGAATGGTTGGCAGTGGTAACAGCTACATTGTTAGGTTTATTACAAGAATATCTTAAAAACTGTAATGATGTAAGTTTACTTCCTAAATTTGTGGAAATATTGTGTGGATAGTCTTGCCATGAGACTTGAACAACATTTGAAGTGAGGAGTACATATCACAGACACTAGACAATATTATGGAATAGACCTCATATTTTGGACACTGAAAGCGAGGTTTATAATGCAAATTATGTCAGCCATTGATAAGATGGCAACATCATATGAAGATAGCCTTTATGATGTCACTCACTAACCAGAGAGAAAATGAACTTAAATCTGCCCTTTCTGGGAAGGTAAAATTCATCCGAAAGTATCGTTAAATAGCTTAATCAATTCCAAATTTAATGATGTTAAGGTGCAGATTTTATGCTTTGACACAAGTTACCATTGTTTGTTTGTGTTCTGAACCTCTTTCTGAATTCAATATGGCCGACATGTCAATAAGGTCGATGAGCACACTTCTTTTACATTATTAAAGTATTGTACTTATTCTGTAATATTGTCTTGAGTTTGTGATTGGATTGTCCCGTCATTCTTAAAGAATGAAAAAATACACAAGTTGATTTCTGATGTACCCAATGTTTATAATTCTTATTTTATAGCCAACAGAACTAGAAAACATAATAGCAGAAGAATCTCCAAAATTGACAATACCACAGTTTCAATATGAGGTCTGTATTAACATTTTTGAAACAAATTGTAGACTGGAAATCATTTTGGTTCAAAAACATGTACATGTAGTTCCTTTTCGTCTAATTAAAATATACCAAACTTTCGTTTTCTTTATTATTTTGCTTTTATTTTCAATATAGTCACTTCAGTTAGGGTCTAATGACAGCCCTCAAAATAACCTTTTGACCTAGCCTAATAAACACAGTGTCACAAAATACCAGTGCTGGAGAGGGTAGAAATTTGATTGGTTAAAGCAGACGTCATCAAGTCAGGCCGAAAGGGTAATTTGTCGAACTATCAAGAAGGCTGTCGTTAGACCCTAACTTAAGTGGCTATACTTATCAAAAATAAAAGCTAAAAAAAACCAGAAACATTTAAATTTAATTTAGATAGACTGTTTTTGCCTTTAATCAATGAAATATTAGAACAAACCCTGTTCATGTGGTGTATTTAAAAATTTTGTTTGGATATTTCATTGTATAAAAAGCTAAATGATTAAAAATCTTTTAGCCCCCAGTGAGTAACAGGAATCATTTTTCTGATGGAAATTATATTTTTTATCAATAGGTGAAGAGACATCATTATAGAGACTTACTTGCAATGTTAACCAAAGATCAGAAAGCAGCTATGCCAGTTTTAGATCCTACACAAGGTAAGTATTGAGTTTATAAGTTGAAATGATGTATAAAAGGCAAATGGCTGTCCTTCCTGTCTACATCTTCTAAATTTTTCTTAAATCTATGAAGAAAATAGTAAAAATATCTCCCCTGACACAGAATTATCTCCCTTGACACATCAAATTATCTCCCTTGACATATTGAATTATCTCCACTGACACATCAAATTATCACCCTTGACACATCAAATAATCTCCCTTGACACATCAAATTATCTCCCCTGACACATTGAATTATCTTCCCTGACACATTGAATTATCTCCCTGACACATCACAGCATCTCCCTAGACATATTACAGTATCTCCCTTGGCACATCACAGTATCTCCCTAGACACATCACAGTATATCCCTAGACACATTACAGTATCTCCCTACATCATAGTATCTTCAATGACACATCACAGTATATCCCTTTTAACACATCATAGTATCTCCATTGACACATCACAGTATATCCCTTAACACATCACAGTATATCCCTGGACACGTCACAGTATCTCCCTTGACACATCACAGTATATCCCTGGACATGTCACAGTATCTCTCTAGACACATCACAGTATCTCCCTAGACACATCACAGTATCTCCCTTAACACATCACATTATCTCCATTTAATTTTTAGCAAGCCACCCACCATGGCGTCACTGGCATAATGATGTCATACCACCCTTCACTAAACCACAAGATAGGAGGACTGCAAGAGAAGAAAGAGAGGCTGAAAGAGAGAGGTAATGCATACCACACAAAATGGGACATAACTCTTAAACGCTATTATTCAGAAAACTTTTGTCCATAGCAAATCTGATTTAAATTGCAGATCTAAATGTTTTGTGTTTTTTTTCTGTGGGTTACTTAATTTTCTATCCATGATCTGACACTGTTTCTAACAGAGTGGAGATGAAATTATTTATGTAGCTTTTTTTCATTGGTTACTATATAGATTTATTTTTTTATACATGTTATTCTCTCAAAATTTATACATTCTTGGCAGTCATTTTTTTTTCTCCACAGGTTATTGCAGCAACAAAAAGATGCTAAAAATTACTTAAGAGATCAAGAATATAGAGAGAAAAGGTTGGAAAATTATATATCATTTATATCAAATGAAAAATTATATATATATATTTTTATAAATCGAATCTTTGTAAAAATACAGCGTGGATAGTTCTTTTAGGACTAGATCAGTTATAGGAGTGACTAAACTTTATTTGGTCTTGTATAGATACATTTAAGGTTGCATGTAATATCCAAGAATTAAAGATATTGTAAAGAGGTTTTCTAGAAAGATTTATGTTTATTGGGGAAACTGATAGCATCAATTTATACCATTCTTATTTTCAGTCAAACATCTGTGGTTCCAATTTCACAAAAACTAAGTCATTATATGATAAAGCATATTTTGCTATTAGTGACATCACTTGGTTTTCGTGTATCTTAAAAATCACTTTGATATTAAAATTCTAATCTTTCAGAGAAGAAGAGGAAGAGTACACGAGAGCTGCTGCAGCTGAAAGATTCCGTGTTGAACAGGAGAGATTACAATTAGAAGATCAGTTATACCAGGTGAGATGATTGCTTCATAAGGTGGTCTTCAAATATCTTTGTCTGTCTGTCTATTATGGGACCAGAAAAGTACTAATTGTTTGCCCATATGGTCTTTCAGACATATTTTCAAAATAAAATTCAGTGAAGGTCATCACATAGCTGTTTCTAGTTCTGCATCACTTTTAAAACAGCTAGACAACTCGTTCAGCTTCTGTGAAATGCATCATGGGATATCAATTTAAATACTTGACTCAGCTGGAACGAAACCATATAGCTTCAGTTAAGAACAAAGTACATTAATCACTTGGCCACCGCAGCTTTCAAAGTTAGTTTATTTGCTTGAATTCATGATGAAGCAGATGAGAAACTCTGACAAACTATTTTTACCTCCAGGAAAGAAAACTTCGTGAAGAAAATGAAAGAAGAGCTCAACAGGAAATAGAAAGATTACGAATGGAAGTGGAAATATTAAAATATCAACATAAACCTATGGTAAGTATGCACTTGACGTCTGCTACGCAAAGAAAATGAAAAAAATTGAACTGCGCCTAATTGAACTTTGACCTCTAGATTATCAAGAGATAACCTAATTTGATGAATTTTTAATTTTGTGATTGATTCAAAATGAGATTTCTTTTTTTAAAGATAGGTTCCTTTATTTTCATTTATGAACGTCTCACATGTCCATAATTAATTCAAGATCAAGAAAGGTCAAAAAGTATTTTTTTGTTTATCCAGACTGTACATACATGTTGATATTTAAAAGATTGGAATTTTTCTTCTAGAAATCACCAACACCATCTGTAAACAGTTCCATGTCTTTCATCAGGTAAAATTTCTGGACCTTAGATTACCATTTTTTGCTTATATTTTGGCTTTGATATTATTTTGTGATTTTCAAACACAAATTTTGAGACTGACGAAATTTTGTAATAAAAGTGGCTGCGTACGATAGTATTAGCTTAAAGAGATGGTAAAGAGGTTTTCTAAATGTTTAAAGTGTATAGGGTTAACTGATAGCATCATATCAATTTCCAATCCGACGTCTGTGGCTCCTTTCATGTTAGTGTCATCATAAAACACTTAGTTCTTGTGGAATTGCAGGAACCACAGATGTCTGATTGAAAATTAGAATGGTGCAAATTTTTTTTTGTCCCTGTTACACATGAAAAATGTAGAAAACCTCTTTACAATCCCTTTAAGTCAGTGACCCACAAAAGAAGTTTCGAAGCCTTTCCATGCTTAAGAAAACTAAGAGCTGATCTTTGCACCTTTCCATTTGCCCAAACATGCCACATCCAGAGTAAACCAAAATAAATTTTAACATTTATGGTTCACAATCACCATTGTCTATTTCAAGTCGAGTGTTATTACCTCCACCACCAACAGCAGCCTCTCAAACTCCAGGTCCTGGTTTACCTGTAATATTAGAATCACCTACTCACACCCCATCTCGTGGACAGACACCTCGACAGCAGACACAGAATGTAGTACTGGATTTCTTAAATAAAATTAGAAAAACTGTTGATATAGGTAAGCTATCTTAGCTTATTCATTCTTCAACTACGCCAAGTAGAATCATCTTCAACCAAGTCAGTCTAATTGAAATTAGACCAAACTTTCATCCTGTATTGATAAGCAGCCACTTCAGTTAGGGCCTAAAGACGGCTTGATTATATGTCAGTATGATGACACTGTCAACCAATCAAATGATTTTAGCGTTTGAAAATTATCCACTATATTTTGTTAGTTAAAACTTAGCGATACGTCAATGGACACATTTTTCTAGATTTTGGTGTATAGTTTTCACAAATTCATTCAATTGACATACCAAAAGCCAGAATGCCCCTTTAACAAGTGTCGTTTTAGCCAACAGAATAAGATATATTTAGAAGTGATTTTGGACTATCATGCGTTATAGAAAAAACCAAATCAATCATGTCGGTTTTCTACAGATTTTCATGTTCAACTTCCATCTGAAGCTAACAAATTTTTTCACATATTCACATTTTACTTTGTTTGATTTCAGTGTCCCATGGGGAAGGTGATGACAGGTTTATGATAGAATCAGAAACAGATAAATATATTGAACAGAACATAGCGGACATTAAACGAGCTGAGGTATAATTGCGTATATATATTTTATCCTCGTTTAACAGTTAAAACGACAAGTTGTCTTTTCTTGAAACACTGCCATATATAGAAAAGACATACCTGTATATAGAAATAGTGAGCAAAATCCCTAGTTTGAGGTATTTTTGAAGGAATAATGAAATTTTTGTACATTTCTAGTACTTCTGAAGGCTATTTACCTATATTTAAGACTCAAATCAACCCCCCAAAATGGCGCATCTGTCCCTTTAAGGTCATTCATGCTTTTTCTGGTGATACTGTATCTACGAATTTACATGAACATATACAGCCCCTGCCTATTTTGTTTGTACTGGGAGGGTTTTTTTTTGTCATCTTACTTGTGACTTATTCCAGGTTGAGGTGTTAGGTCAAAGGTTAAAACCAGGAGAATTTGAAGCCATGCCATATCAAAAACAACAAGAAATCAGTGATGATATGATGGTTTTAATACAGAAGTGGAGAGAAGATAGACGTGCTGCTGAACTTAGACAATCTAGACAATCTTTATAGTTTTTTTTATAGATTATAGATAAAATCTTATAAATCTGGAATGGATATAAGATCAGGATCCTTAAAACAATACCAACAGGGTGGATATAAGATCAGGATCCTTATAACAATACCAACAGGGTGGATATAAGATCAGGATCCTTATAACAATACCAACAGGGTGGATATTAGATCAGGATCCTTGTAACAATACCAACAGGGTGGATATAAGATCAGGATCCATATAACAATACCAACAGGGTGGATATAAGATCAGGATCCTTATAACAATACCAACAGGGTGGATATAAGATCAGGATCCTTGTAACAATACCAACAGGGTGGATATAAGATCAGGATCCTTATAACAATACCAACAGAGTGGATATAAGATCATGATCCTTGTAACAATACCAACAGGGTGGATATAAGATCAGGATCCTTATAACAATACCAACAGGGAGGATATAAGATCAAGATCCTTATAACTAACAGAATGGATCAGGATCTTATCCAGATACCCAGTTAATCGATGATAGATCGGGATCCTTTCCAAAAATCCACTTGGTAGATGGTTAGGATCTCTTCCAGATACACAGTTAGTGGATATAAGACCAGGATCTTTCCAAGATACCCAGTTAGTGGATATAAGATAGTGGATATAAGATCAAGATCTTTCCAAGATCAGGATATTTTCCAAGATACCCAGTTTGTGTATGATTGATCAGGATCTTTTCCAAGATACCCAGTTAGTGGATATAAGATCAGGATCTTTTCCAAGATACCCAGTTAGTGGATATAAGATCAAGATCTTTTCCAAGATATCCAGTTAGTTTATGATTGATCAGGATCCTTATAACACTACCAACAGGTATTTGATTAATATTAGATCAGGATCTTTTCCAGAACGATTGGGGTCTCCTTCAGATATCTAATATTAGATCTGGATCTTCTCTGGATTTTCTCTTGATTTCACATGGTTGATATTGGTTTTATGATATTTCACAGATATCTGAATGTTGGATATATCCAGGTACCCAAAAAGCTTTTATAATCATACTAAAAACAAGATGCTTATGAAGGAGTCCCATTTCAATTATCTTCCTGTTCGTTCCCTTCCCTTCCTTTCCCTCCCCTTCCGTTTATTTTCGTTCCGTTCCCTTCCCCTCCTTTCCCACAATAATTCAAATTTCATATTTCATGGATGTGGATGTATATTTTTTTTATGAATAGTGACTGATTGCCTAGAGACATCTGGCCTTCTACTGAATTTTAGGAACAATTTCTTCGTCTTCGCAACTTCCAACACAGTGTCTCAAGTTGTCTTTCCTCTTTTATTTCTTATTTATTAGATTATATTTATATATACATTATGTTAGACTATATTTATATTAAAAAACATAACATTACTTAATGTTTCTTATTTCCGTCTTCATCAGAAAAGGACGTAAAACTCAATTCATTTCATTTTTTACTCTTCGATATCTGACTGATTGTCATGCGGTATTGTCTTTTATCACTCTTGGATAAACCCAGTTAGCCAAATTGGACTTGAATATTTACATGCATACATTTCATTGTTGATTTTGGCAATTATTGAATGTACAGTTTGTTAGTTATTGCCCTTAACTAACTAAAAACGTTAATCCCGGTTTAAATAAAGGTTAAGAGCATGTACCTGTCGTACGGTAAAGAGTCAAGTTATCATGAAATATTAAAGCTACCGTGAATTAACATTACAGATATTATGAAATGTCAAAACAATCACAGACATGAAAGCTGTTACAAAATGATAATGCTAAAGCTAAACATTAAAACTTACACGATTGGTTAAAAACTATAGCCCCTGTCGTGTGTACAAGTCGAAATTGACACGTCAAGGGCAATAACTAAAAATTTCTCATTCAAATCCCTCATGCAAGAAATGTGGTCGGACCTACAGACAGACATATATGTTAACTTTTCCATGGGCGTATAACAAAAATGGAAAAAAGAGAAACTAATTGGAAGTAAAAATAACGAGTGGGTGAAATTATGTTGGTAGACAATTTCTTTACATGTGGATTCGTCTATTTGAATTTTTTTTCAGATTACAGACAGACTTTTAGTCTGTTCAACACTATTATCGAACTATTATTTTTTAAAAAAAATCAAAATTAATTGGATCTTTGTATTTTAGTGTGACTATTTTTAAAAGTAATACGGCGAGATCGTCTGATCGTGAATGATTACGCCTACGACTGACCGTTTTTAGAATTTGTAAATAGAGGTCTCTTTTCCAATTTCAATCGATCAACTACAGCACGGGGCATTGTTAATGGTAGCTAATAGCCTCTATTATCCAGTTCCACACGCACAGCTTCGTCGACGAAAGATTTTTTTATTTGTATCTAAGACAGGAGAAGTCTGGGTGTCAGAGGCTTCTAGCGCTGTGGCAGAATTCGCTTTCGTAGAGGGAATAAAACCGAAATTGACAATTAAGGACTTAAAAGTATGTCTTTGTTGAATTTGTGGCCTTAATTAGTCATGGAACAAGAGAAGTTCCCACCAGTTTAAATCCCCAATTGTACCACAGAAAGTTCAAAATATGAAAAGACTTTTTTGCCCCAAAATATGTCAGTATGCAACAAATCAATTTCATTTTTCAAACCCCAATAGGAGGCTTGTCCAATGCTCTTCCTCATTTGGAATCGCTAGTTTGACAGTTCTTCTTGAATTAAGTCAGTTTGTTTCTATTTGTATCCCGAGCTCTAGACGCCGTCGTGGTAGTTTCATTAAAACCATGATAGCTTTAATACTCGTGATGGTTTCATTACACCATGATAGCTTTAATACTCGTGGTAGTTTCATTACACCATGATAGCTTTAATATTCGTGGTAGTTTCATTACATCATGATAGCTTTAATACTCGTCATGGTTTCATTACACCATGATAGCTTTAATACTCGTGGTAGTTTCATTACACCACGATAGCTTTAATACTCGTGGTAGTTTCATTACACCACGATAGCTTTAATACTCGTTATAGTTTTATTACACCATGATAGTTTTAATACTCGTGATGGTTTTATTACACCACGATAGCTTTAATACTCGTGATAGTTGCATTACACCACGATAGCTTTGATTTTTTTTTATGTAGCTTTTTTTCTTGGTAACTTTCACATTTTACTTTGATATTTTTGTGATAGCTTTAATATTGCATATTGCATATTTCGTGATATCTTTACTACATATAGGTTAAATGCTTCATGATAGCTTTTATGTTTCATGATGACGTTTATTTTATTTCAGGATTCATTTTAAGAAAAGTAACACTTCGACCTCAATTTCTTTTATTTTTAATATTTCTTGGCATTTTTATTATAGCTGTGTTATTCATGATGAATTTTACATTCAGAACAAAACAGCAGCAATGAGCTCTTCTGAGCATGTTTCAAAATTACTTAGTTTAATGAATTATTACTTTGTTTTATGTATTTATTAGATTATAGAGGGATTCAATTGTATAGTCATGACACCAGATAAGTCCACTAATGAACAAAGACTCGTTAAAAATTTCCAATTTTTTGTTCATCGTAAGAGTTAGTTTACCTTTAAATTCTTACTAATATAGGTTTCTATTTTGATACTAATGTATGTGTATATATTCCGTTAAATATCAGAAATCGAAGCTTTCTTATTGATGTTATATTATTAGAATCGTGTGGGGTGATCATGACGAAGGTCGATAGTCGGAAAATGTCAGCCAATAATAAAAAAAAATCAGAAATACATTTATTCTGTTGAAAAGGCAACCTGAAACACTAATCAATAAAAATATCAAAGAAAAAATATGTTGAAAAAAATCTTATGACAAAAATAAAAATGTGTTAAATTATTATTTTGAATATGTCCAAAATAAACGCCGTGTCACGGCGAATAGTCACGACAATGGCGGCAATTGGACGATACCCTACACGCTTTACCACGCTTACGCTCTGAGCCAATATTCTATCGCAGAGGTAATTATAGCAACACTGACATACAATGACTTTAAATTATGTGAGTACATTATGATGAATATCTGTACATGTGTTTATTACGAAACTATCATCAGAAATTTCTTGCCAAGTCATTGAACGAAAGCGTGGCAGATTGTACTTGACACCATTCTTCAAGTATAAACAAATTGGCATTTGGAACGAGATTTTGATGATATTTTTTTATACATCCAATTTAAAAACTAGACATAACCTATACCTATTTCGTTTAATGCCTTTGGTGCTTTATACTTTAAAGAAAACGGATGCATTAAACTGAACGAATACATATCTTAAAGTGATTAGTTCAAAATATTCATGTTCTAATCTAATTACAATGTGACCACTTTCTCTGTGACCAAATTACAGTGACCAATTACCAATCGTCCAATTACCATTTGAAAACACGACTAGATCAGTTTTCCCTCTTTTCTCTAACCCTAATTACTCTGAATAATTTTCCATGTAACTTATTTTTCATGTAACTTATTTTCCATGTAACCTATTATTTGTGTGTCCAAATTACTGTGACCAATATGCCCTGTGACCAAATTACCATGTGATTACCAAAATTACTGTGACTCTAACCAAAAATCTCGACAATTTACCTGTAATATTCTCCAGGGCAGTAGAATCCGAAAAATAACCTTGTCACACTGGATTGCCATCATTTGCGATCTAATTACCGCGACCAAAAATGTGCTTGGTTGCCGGAAAACGCTAAGAGAACGCGAGAAAGAGTTCCATATTGCGTTCTAAATGCGTGCTTCTAATGAAATCTATGGGCTTGGTGTATTTCACTTGTATTGCGTATAGAGATACCACGACGCTTATTTAAAGACATTTTCGATTCTGCGGCCATTTCAACGGCGATTATAGTCGAAAATGGGTAATTTTTGGTGAAAATAGCGGTCACCGTAGATATCTGACGCTCACTACACGCTAATAGGCTGCTTATGGCGAACTTTACTTGCTCTGAGTTAATTTTCCGTCGCCGT